AATGACCTAATAAACCCTCAAATGGACTGATTTGTGTAGCCACGTCCTTCTGTTGTCTGGTTCCCTAATGAGATCTATTGATTTGAGCTTGGTTACATAATTTGCAAAAGTCTCGATGACAAAGCTGGTTTGATTCTGCAAACAGGAAAGCATGCTATTTGTCTTAGTTACGCCTTAAAAATGATTTTTCAAAGTCTTTCACTTTAACATTTCACATTTAATTCAATGTGTTACTTGCTGTTTCTTTGTAAATCAATTATGAAATTTACAGTCTCTAAGTGAAAAATGTTTCTACACTCATTTTTGTTCAGTGTACCTTCATTATCATATCTTGTATGAAACATAAAATCAAAACTGACTGCATTTACTTCCTTAATACACGTTCCTGGACTTATTGTTCATTCATCAGTGAAAGTTATTTGAAAAAAAAAACGTTACAAAAAAATTATATTCTGTGCTAAAAGCCACTTTTCACAATCATAACAATCCCAATAAACATAATAAAGAACTATCCAACATTTTTTTTTACATCGAATATCCTGTTTCACTACAAATTTTCACATTACAGACATAAAATGGGTTTCAAATGCCATTTAATGTCTACTGGACATATCAACACAATATAACTACCCCTCATAACAAGATTAGCTCTTAGCCTAATTTCATTCAACATGTAGGTTTATCAAGCACCTCAATTGTTTTTTACATAATAATTTAAACTTTTGAAAGTGCTGAGCAATGCTGCTCAAGTGTGTGAACAACAGCCACTGGGAAGGTCTCTCCTTGACATTCCTCCCGTACTAATTCACCCCTACGCAGAGAGGACATGATACCACATGACACCACACAAAGTGACACAGTCCTGTCAGGGAGTATTGAGTTCTCCTTCACACCTCAGTCTCACAATTGATCAAAGCAAACTCTTTTAAAGGAGTATATCTGATGTAGCACCCATAGGCGAAAGGCTTTTGCAACATTTTGTTGCTTTGAAACGGTGAGAGCTCTCCACAAAAAAAGCCCATTCATTAAAATGCCCACCCACAAGATGTATGCACACACACACACACACACACACACACACACACACAAACACTCCCATTGTTTGACAACCCTACCCCCCAAGTGAATGCCCCTCAGCTGGAGACCACACAATGATTCAAAGTTTCACCTCGTGGACATTTCATCCTAAAACTGAGCATGCTGTTCCAGGAGACCAAAAATAAACACCTAAACTCAAATTAGAAAAACATCATGCAGCTTCTGCATTAATTTTAAAGCTAGTAATGGATTTGGAAGCTAGTAAATCCATATAAAATTATTTCCTGTGAGGTTTGGGTGTTTAAATTTCTCAAAGTTGACCTTAAAAACCTTCTTAATGCTAGCTTAGATAATCAATACCTGACTTTGGACTATAGCATAACACTTTTGGCACTTTTCCACTGCGTGGTACGACTCGGCTCAGCACGGCTCAGTATGGCACGGTTTGCGTTTCCACTGCAGTTCAGCACCGCTTTAGAGTGGGCGGGATTATTCACATGTTGTTATAGTTGCGCCGCCTCTACTACCACGACTCCTAAAAAAAACTTTTTCATTCCGCGTCGCCCCATCAAGCTCTCGCTGGAGCCGCTCCTCTGCTATCAACGAGAGGAACGTCTGTTCTTCCGCAACAGACAACAAAACTTTTTGGTTGTTAAAAAAAGGTGCGCTCATTCAAAACAGTTGCGTTGATCCTTCGCTGGCTGTGCTGATTTAAATCTAGCGGTTCTTTTGTGTTTGTGTCGCAAGTTCAGTGACGCAGGTAGTGACGATTCTCTCCGGCCAATCCGTGATCAGCAGAGTTTACATGTCACGTTTTGGTAACGGTACGGTTCACTTGGAACCCCAACCGAGGTGGTACTACCCAAAAAGGACCCCGTGCGGAGCCGTACCGTGCCGTACCATGCAGTGGAAAAGCGCCAATAGTTCTCTGTTCTGTCCCTGTTTGTGTAGTGTGAGAACAACCTTCCTTCCTGTAGAGACGTCAAGAGTAGTGGTCGACCGATATATCGCCAAGACCAATATATATTATATCGGCCGATATCTGCCATTTTTCAAATATCGGCACTGGGTGATAAGTTTTTCTGTTTGGCCGATGTGTTCGAGGCGGGACTTTTATTTTGACGGCGCCGAGAACGGCTGCGGCAGCGCCTGAGCACACAGTGCTCACATTCTCCCTCTTGTTCGCTGTTGTCATTCAGTTCTGTCTAATACGGCTAGAAGTCTATCTAATAATCAGATAGAACTGTTAAACAATGGAATTAAAATGTATACAAAAAAGTATTATAACGATTGCTTTAATATTATTAAAGGCAAACATTATAATACTTTCTCGTTTGCCGTCAGCATTCCGCAAATACGCACTTATATAATTTAAACAAATCTTTGAATGACTAATGAACATTTAATTTCACAAACCTTGCAGACTTAGTCGAATCTAGTTGAGATCTTGTGAAGTGTGCATGTGACCTGCATGATCGCATGTTCTGTGGCGGTCGGTCCTATGGTCCATGCGAATTGAATACGGACAGGAGGAGAGTTCAGCTTCACTGGAGACGCGCGATCGACAAACTTTAAACTCGTGACCGATTTCAAATTATGCTGCGCTTTATGCATATTCATGTCATTTTCACTGTGTGCTGTATGTAAAATGAGTGTTACCTTGGCTTTATTTGAAAAAATATTATTCCCAATGCACACAAACTTCCCAGAATACTGAGTGCCCTGTTGGTTACAGTGTTTACTTCCTTTTTAATTATATTTTTATTAAATATTTATTTATTTGTGAAAAATACTTTGTCTTCTAGAGTATAAGTATG